CTACATGAAGCAGATGAATGACTTTTTCTCTGCAGTATGAAAACGGCAGCCACTGACTGTGCACTCCGCCGCCATGTGAGCAGGGATGGTAATTGCAACCGGTCAAAATGACCGACGGCCTTCAGATTTTCCGGTCATTGCTGTAAAAAACCGGTCAATGACCGAGAATACCCGGTTAACGCGACCCCTGCATTGAGTTCCATTTTATTCGTGAAAAGGCAGACATCACTACAACCTTATTTCCAACACTTGGCAACTCACGCCAAATCAATCTCGACTGATACATAGCACTAATGGTGAGAGGAAAATATGTATTTTTGATTTGGGAGCCAGCTCGTGAAACCCATGTTGTCATGGCTGATATCTCCAACACTTGGCAACTCACACAAAAACAATCTAGTCTGATAACTAGTGCAACAGGTATTAAGAAAAAAGGGGGTGTTTGAGGTGAACTGTCCCTTTAAGACACAGACACACTCACACAGTCCATCTAAACATTGCATGTCAGACTTTTGAAACATCTACTTTAGCAGCATTAAGATAATTTCAGTGTCACTGCTGCGGTTCCACGAGACTTTAATGTTCTCTGAGCTCTGAGCTCAGAGCTGCAACAGGGAGGGAAAGGCAAATAAAGCAAACACACCTCGCCACACCTTTTAACGTTTAACCCACGCTTCATACCTGAGTGCCTGTGTGTGTGCGTGTGGGTGCACTCGCCCTCTGCAACGTTGTGTGTACATGTGGCTGATAAATAATGTTGTGTTTCATAGCTGTCGTGGTAGAACGGAGGAGGAGAGGAAGGAGGCAGAGAGGGAAGGATGGAGAGCGAGAGAGAGAGGCGGGAGGACGGGTAGATGACAATGAGGGAAAGACGGATAAGAAACAGAGGAAGGAGAGAGGGAAGAGGGGAGGTTAATGGAGGCTAGATGACACACAGGAAGGATTTAAGGAATGAGTGCTCTACATGAATGTCAAGTGTGTACAGTCCAGGTTTCAGTCTGACATAACTTCCTGTTAGTGCTGGAGCTGTTTGAATAAAGTGATCTTTTCACTGTGATTGTTCTTTTTTTTTTTTTCTTCTTTTTTTTTACGTAACTCGGCTGTGACTCAGCGTTGCAGCCTCTGTGTGTGTGTGTGTGTGTGTGTGTGTGTGTGTGTGTGTGCGTGTACGTGTGTGTGTGTGTGTGTGTGTGTGTGTGTGTGTGTAAGAGAGACTGCCTGCTTTCTTCTGGTGCAGCTCTCAGATTTTGATATTCAAATGAAATGACATGAGTCAGCGTGAACTCACAGTTCAGACTCTTCAGTGTAAAGCTGCTGTGTCACTTTGTTCCATCGCAGGATCAAGCTGAGTGATAAAAACAAACTTTATGTTTGACTCAGTACGATAATCAAGAGGACAGAAAGTTACCAGTCTAAGCCTCTGACTCCAGTTGTTTTCATGATTAATCATTCAGTTGTTAACTCATCGCAATTTGCCAGAGCTCATGCTGAGGTCATTGTGTTGCTTTGTTTTGTGGGACCAAGAGTCCAAGCCCCAAATATATTTGGGCCACAGTGATTATAAAACCGAGAAAAGCAGGAAATCCTCACGTGTGTTTCTGAAACCAGAGAATGTTCAACACTTGTGCTTGAAATGTGACTAAAACAATAAGGTGATAATCAGAATAGTTGCAGAATTTCCTATTGACTGACTCATCGATTACCCAACTCATAGTTTCAGGTGTAATCCAGTCTCATATCACAGTATCAATATACTCTCAGCATTATCACGTGGTTAAGTAGGTAGGGTTGTATCAGACCTTTGTTGTACAAGAAAACAGACAGTATAAAAGCACTGACAAACACTTTTTTTAAATTTTTTTTATTATCACTTTATGTTCATAATGTTTTCTGCAGTGTGTCTTGCATCCTAAGACATAGACTGGGCCTCATGCAAAGACATTCTGTTTAATTTCTCTTGTGTTTTCTCTTAATTTCCTGTCAAAAGAAAGAATAAGAGAAGTCACCTCCAGATGCACCAAACATTCTTAACCTCCCGAATCTGCTCTCACCCAGGTGCGCTGAATGATCAATCCCATTTCATCATAGGTCACATATTAGCCTAGGTACAGCTCTCAGTACTGGTGTTAAGAATCAGAATCTTTATTGTCATTGTACAACAGATTTGTTACAGGAAAATCAAAAACCTAACAATGGTACATCATTTGCTGCTCCTTTGCTGTGCTGTCAGTTTCGGAGACACACACTATGGATTAGGGCTGTGCACAACTCAGTGTTATGTCAGTCAGGTAAGATTTAGCTGTTCAATATAAATATTCACTATTCGTAGCTTTTTTGACATGAAAAGTTTGAATGTTTGAACGGGGGTCAGCGGGACGTTCAGTGTGACAGTAACATTCAGGTAATATAGTAGACAAGCTAACTATGGTAACAATGATTTGGAAATGGGCAACAGCATTTATTGCCAACACGAGATACCAAACAAAAGCCAGAGACTGTATCGTATTAAGTTGCTGTGAGCTGTAAATTCACCACTTCAAGTATGTAAGCACAAGGCAGAAGATTACGTTATCTCGGACCCTGAGCAGGCAGCTGCCTCTGTGTCTGCAGCTGTCTATACCAGAAAGCAAAAACCAAAACATCCACGGCAGTACAATGCACACTGACTGAATCTCAGTCGCCTTTCAGGGGGCAGCCAGACTACAGATACTTTTTACACACGTCTAAACAGTGCCACGAAACTGACCTCCTTGAGCTCCCCTAGTTTTGCGGCACTGTTTACTGTACAGGCCTGCTACTCAGCTAAACTATCACCAAAGGCCGGTCTGCCTCGAGCCACTGTGATGCTAATGTGTAGTGATCTGTGCCCATACTTATGAAGATAATTAAATAATAACACGGAGGCTCTGTTGTCTAAACCAAGACAGCAAACTCTTTAGTCATCCCACAATGTCAACGGCAGCATAATACAGCTCACTCCATCCATTCTTACCTTTCACAATAAAAGCCCTAGCCATATACACTGCTTACCAGAGGGAACTTATTCACATGCTGAGGCTGTAGTGATGTTCAATATAGTAAAATATTTTTTTAGGTTTGTATTTAACGTAACTTATTATCTCAGTGAAATGTACTGAAATAAATATATATGTGGCACAAAAATGCATTTTATTATTTTGGCTGATAAAAAATTATGCTTGGCCAGCAGATTTTTTTTATCCAACAGTCCGTTTGGCCGGTGAGAAATAATTGTTTTCGGAAACTGCTCATGGACTCAAATGTATTTTGATTTTCCTTTTAAATTTACAAGGTTTTTTCATAGAATTTGAAATAATTAGATTATTTGCAAAATATATACCAAGTATGGTGTGTGTGTGTGTGTGTGTGTGTGTGAGACAGAAAGAGGTCAATTTAACAGGAAGTGTTGTGTCCACACACAGACTGGGTGCCACAAAGAAACCATTATGATGGGCCTAACTGTGTGTGTGTGTGTGTGTGTGGGTGTGTGTGTGTGTGTGTGTGTGTGTGTGTGTGTGCGTGTGTGCGTGACAGTAGACCCACTGTGGATGTTCAGCAGCTCTTTTCCGTCGTCTTGTGTCTGTGTCAACATTTATGTTTCCTCTGAAATGCTGCACAAATCTGAATAAATGTTCTAAAAGTCAGGAAAACAAAATGTAAATCACAGTTTATTTCCAGCAGCTTTATATGAATCATCTTCTGTTACATTAGTTAACGTTCAACATCAACATCCATAGTTTAAAAAAGTTTCTGTTCTCCTGTAAAACATATTGTTACTTACTTGTACTTACGACTCAGGTTGTACGATAAACCAAACTTAGACATAAATTTACTCATCACAATTTTTCAATTTGATAAAGACGAATCATGCACTAATGTATTAAAAAGTAAGTATTGCTATATTTAAAGCTATCAAGGTAAATCTGATTTATAGGGAGTATCGCCCAGCCCTGCCTCTGACTTAATGTGGCATTTATTTTACATCCATTAATTAATTTGGAGCTTTATGTCACAGTAGGTGGCATTAATATACTGTGAGTGCAGAGCTGGAAATATGACAAGAACTTAGTGTTAAAAAAGATCCTGCAATGTCATCATTTGTTAAGGTTTTCTTCACTATTAATTAATCACATTTTTTATTTGCAGACGCACAAACTTTACCACAAAAGTCAAGTGTAAAAACTTGTTTTTGATGTCTCATGCATGGATTCAAAAATGTTTAGCACAGTATGAGGATTGAAATGTGTGAGTGCATCTGCGTGTGCATGAGAGAGAGAAAGAGGTGGTCAGCATTGTTGCGTCTGTATGATTGTGTGCGGAGGTGCTGTCATGTGTTTGGTTTAAAAATCCCTGGCATTGTGTGCTTGTACACATGATCTATCACTGCCTCATTAAGCGGCATTAGACGGATATTATGGAGGACTACTGTCGTAATTGTGTGTGTGTGTGTGTGTGTGTGTGTGTGTGAGTGAGTGAAAGAGAGAGAAACCTGATATCGTCACATTCAGCTCCCAGAGGCTGATTGTGAAAGGAGGTAGTTTCTGCCTTACATAATTCATTAACAAAATGAGACGCACACACACACCTATCATTTCAACACGTTACAACACTCGTCATAAGACTTTAATCAGATGGATTTTCCTCAATACCACTTGATGAAGCAATTATAGCCACACACACACACACACACACACACACACACACACACACACACTGCTCAGCTTTCCTGCAGTACATCAACTCTTTGTTTAACAGTCTTCAGTTTCCTGTTTAATGTTGATTGTAAGAGAAATATATCACTTTAAATGATTGAGACGTTGCCTCAGGCTCTCTCTGTTTCGCTACAGTTTCTATACGTTATCAGCTGGCATTTTATTTCGTAGTTTCAGTACCCCAGACTCTGATTTTGAAACATTTTTTGTTTTCAACACTTTCAGCTTCCTTTCAAAATAAAACTAATCTGGTGTTGTTTTGCCTTCCAGGTGCCACCAAGGAGATTGGCTCAGCGCTAACCAGGATGTGTATGAGACACCGCAGCATTGAGTCCAAGTTGAAACTGTTCACCACGTAAGACACTCACACACACTCACACACTCACACACAGAGTAGTATCACTTGTGTTATTTACCAGATAGGGAGGAGGGCAGGTGAGGGTGTGATTGATGGTGTGATGACAGCTCTGATCAGACAGTGTGGGAACAAGACTAATTACTCTCAACTGACATATGCTCATATAGATGTGTGTGTGTGTGTGTGTGTGTGTGTGTGTGTGTGTGTGTGTGTGTGTGTGTGTGCGCGCGCGAGAGAGAGAGAGAGCGAGAGAGAGAGAGAAAGAGAAAGAGAAAGAGAGAGAGAGATTTCTGTCATTGCTGTCTGCTGTCATTAGAGAAGCCATCAGTCAGATGATTCACACACACATGCACACGCACACGTCTTGTAGCTCTCGGGTTAAATAATGTTGGTCCATTCATGGATGACAATAGGGTTTTGTTTTTGTTACAGTCTTCATTTTTTACAGTTTTTGTCTCTTAACTCAACACAACACCACACAGCTTTACATTAACGGCGCTATAATCACTATTTTGTGTGTAATAAAGAATCAAATGAAAGCGTGAAAGGCGTCGCTTGTAGGAATGTATCTACAGAGAATTATCAGCTGACTCTGCAGCTCCGCTTGGCTTTATGGAGCTTTATAGAGAGGTTCAGCTAATGTTTATTTGTCCGACCGACAGTGTTACTCTTGGTTCAATCTCACTGTTCTCATGGTGTTATTTTTTAGAGAGAAATCTCTACAAACCCACTGTACTCAACCTGCTCGGCAGCAAACACCACACAGACACAGAAAGACAGAATGAGACTAGCTGGTGAACATAGTGGAGCATTACTGCCTGTACTGCCTTAATATGCACATTCAGCACATCCAATGCATCAAAACATTGTTTTCTAGTTGGAGTCGTGCCTCGTTTTCAAACTGTATGGTTTGACTAAAATGAACAATGACAGCAATATAGTCCACGATGAGCAGAGCTAAAATCAACCTGCGTAGTTGTCCCTCCATTGTGACATTAGAAAGTGTCACATTTATCTTGCAAGTGTACTCTTCTTCAACATTTGCTTTACTTCCTGGATTTTTCCCACATGGAAATTCTGACCAATCAAGAGCAGCTTTCTCACACAAGGCATTTGATCTGGTCCGCTTGTAAATGCTGCCGTGAGAACATGAACCAACTCTAGGCAATTATACAACTTTGGAACAACATGAGTCCCTGATTCAGACCAAAGCAAGACAACTCTAGGTTATGAAAGGATACTATTCCACCAGTTCCTCTCTTGTTGTGGATGTGTCCTGCCGCCAAATTACCTTCACTGAGTCTTAAGTAAAGGTTTGAATGAATGAATGAAAAATAATTATGGAAATCCAACCTACCAATCTCAGACTCACTTAAAAGCAATTAAGTTTTTTTTTGTTTTTAGGATTAATTCAAGTAAAACTCATTTAAACACAATGATTAAATGAGACTTTACATCTCTTTCTTTTAGAGCTCTCTCAGAGGGTCTCGTCACTCCGCTGGAGTTGAAGATGGAGGAGTGGAAAAAAGTGGCCAATCAGCTGGACAAGGACCATGCTAAAGGTATGCTAAATTGCAAACACACACAGACCTGCACAGACACAAACTGTCCCTCACTGCCGGTTTCCTCTTATTGTTTAGAGTACAAAAAGGCTAGAGCGGACATCAAGAAAAAATCATCAGACACCATCAAACTGCAGAAGAAGGTGAAGAAAGGTAAGAACAACAAACGTCTCCATCACATCCATCAGGTTTTCAGCAGCACTGAAATAAACACTGCAACAATAAAATCCTCTGTCAAGTTACATTATCACACAGTCAAAAGCAAAAATAAGGTTAGCTTTAATGCTTTTACTTGAGTGGTGACGCTGCAGACATCAGAGCTTGTTTACTTCAGAGGAAGAAGGCACTTGCTGAATATGAGAACCGTCTTTCACAGAGTGAGATAATCCGTCACAGTAAACACGAGGAGTCTGTTTGATCCTGCACTCATTGTGCTGAGATAAGTGTTTTCTGATCTCTGCTGCTGTTACGCTACGCTCTGCCTTCTGTCAGTCACCTGACACCCTGAGGGAAGAAATAATCCCTCTTAAACATGTTTTCTCTAAAATAAGCTGCAACCTTCCATGTTTTATTTAGTCTGGTTAAACACCGGGAAAGTGGGTAATTTTGTCCTGCTGGGTTTTGACAGATCACCTCAAACTCAGAGATCAAAACCTAAACTTACCTTGCTGATCTTTACCTGGGACTTGTTAGCATTAACTCAGGACTTGTTGGACTTGACTTGTACTTCTTTAGTTTGACTTAGGGCTTACCTATCTTAATTTGGGACTTGTTAGATCCTTTTAGGTCTTCACTTGGGACTTGATGGTCTTGAATTGGAACTTGTTGGACATGATTTGTACTGCTTGGACTTGACTTATGACTGACCCTTTTTGTTAGTCTTAACTTGGGACTTCTTCCTCTTGCTCTTAAAATCTGTGAACCCATCAGCTACCAATCAGAGAAGATTTAGCCTTTTTGGGCAACAACTAGTGTTTTGGGGGTTCTGGGGAGCCAATGGATGTTCGAATAACAGATATCCGGGCTAAGACTTCCTCATCCATGCACCAGTCATTGTTTGCATTCCAGTTAGCATCTTGAGAAGCAAGAATGTAGTTGGAGTTAATCGATATAAGATTGTCAGTATATTGTATTTCGACCAATGCGTTCCGCCTCTTTTGCTCTCCACCCTTACTGTTAACCTGCATGCAACTAAAGCCTGCTCAGATTTTGCTGGTTAATAATACTCTAGGTTTACAGACGGAAACCAGGATGTTTCTGATACCAAAATCTTGTTCTGTTACTTAGAGATTCTGCAGACATGTGCAGATATCTGTTTATAGACATAACTTGACTTGGGACTTGTTGGTCTTAAAGTCAGAGTAAAGTAAAATCTGAGATTTACATCTTAACATATTGTATATGTGAGAAATGTTGAAAACGTGAAAAGACTGGGAACTATGTAGCACATTCAGCGTACACACCCCCAGCGTCTCAGAGCAGAGAACACTGCCTAATGTTTCATGATATTGAAATGTAATTTCATGTGCTTGGTGACTTTTTTTAATCATTCAAATTTGGCTTGGTGCTTAATAACACATTTTTCTGTGGCATGACATATTTTTGATTTAAGCGGACTTTAATAGTGCGTGAACTACAAACGGAAACCAGGATGCTTCTGATACCCCAAATCTTATCCCATTGCTTACAGATACTGTATTCATATACAGATATCTGTTTATAGAAATTACTTGACATGGGACTTGTTGATCTTCAATACGATACGATACTATACGGTATACTTTATTGTCCCCATAGGGAAATTTTTCTTGGACTCAGGAGCTGTACAGTATTTCTGCCTTGCAATAATAGTCCAGAAGAAATTCAGCATACACCGTAAAAAAAATAATAAAAATAACACATACTACACAAAACAGTATTGCACATCAGCCATTCATGAGTACAGCTGGTTAAAAATTAAAATACCACTTAATTAAAAAGGGATTGACATTCATCTGTCCAAGTTTTTAAAGTAAAAGATGGGGCAGAAGTTTATTAAAGGCAGAGCTAAAATCAATAAATAAGAGACATACATAGGCCTTTGGGTCCTCCACGTGTTCAAGGGTCAAGTGAGTAATGCCATTAAAAGCGTCCTCAATACACCTGCAGCCAATAATTTTCATTTGTCAGCACAGAGCAGCAGACAGACAAATGATGCAGAGAAAAACAAACTTCAGGACTTAGTCTTGCTCTGGGAGTTGTTCGACTTAACGCTGAACTTCATAGCAGACACTTGAGACTACTTTGTGACTCATAAAACAATGACTTCATCCCACCTGTGTTATTTGAACAGATTCCAGAAGGTTGTCGTGTTTATCTCTCTCGTCATTGTGTAGGTGTCACTATTTTATCTTGTTAAATGAGGGACTCTTAACTCTCAACACATTAGACTGAGTTTGGTTTGGTTTTTACATCTGAAATCTGCCCTGGAGCTGCTGATTCCTGAGTATTTCTTATTTTGAATGTCTAAAATTACTCAGTTCAGGCTGAGCGGTTGCTGTGCTGTGAGGCCTGCGCTGACTTCAAGCCTGTCAGTCAGAGTGTTGCCACGGCAACCCAGACAGACTGCCAGGCAGTCACCTGGGCCACACCCTGTGCCCTGCTATCAAAGGGACACACCCTGTGGTTGCCATGGCTGCACCTGGCCTCCCCGCCATCCCATAATCAAAGAGACTGAAGGTTCGCCAGGAACGACTGCAGATGGACTGTAACGGTGGAAATAGAACAGAAACGCCCAAAACACGTGCGCAGACACACCACAATCAAAATGAAACCTCAAGGCCTTTATACAAATATCCTCTCTGTCGTCCCTCTCAACAAATCCAATACGCAAATGCACAGACACAGAAATAGCCTGTACACACACACACACACACACACACACACACACACTCACACACTGAGTCTCAGTGCAGACCCGCCCATGGTAAACAGAGTGATGTGTGATGTGGCTTTAACATCTCTGAACATGTTTTCTGCTACGTGCCTTATTTTTTTCTTTCTGCTTTCCATCTCTTTTTCTACAACATTTATTTTTCTCCTTCAGTTCAGTCATAATACTTTTTTGCGTTTTAACATTAAATCACAAGAACAGTTAGTGATCAGAAAAAGTTATAACATTTGATGGAAAAATTTGGTTTAGTTCAACTTATTATTTTCATAGTTTTGGCTTTCTCTTGGTTAAGAGATAAAACTGTAGTCAGGACTTAAATTGACTGATCTTAAGCATCTACCTTTAACGTCTGCTGCTGCTATGTGGGACAAGTTTCATTTAACAGTATGTAAAAAGTAAAACAAAATGTCTGACAGGTGAAAAAATACAAGCATTTAGACAATCTGACAGGATGGAAACAAGCCAGCAGTTTATCCAGATGGTCCAAACTACTTTGGAAGTGGGAGCTTCTGAATTTTTGGTCAATTTTTTTTATTGTTTGATTAAATTTGCCTAAGCAGATCTCAGCTATTAACTCGGTGAGCACAATATTATCATCACTCATATAAATAATGGACAAAACTACAAAAATAAAAGCTGTATTAACACGAATAATCCGAATCGAATAGCTATCTGATTATCATCTGTGTTCTCTGTATGAGGACTGTGTGGCTCAGAGAGACAACAAGTAAACAAGTAAGCAAAAGAAATTCAAACACACAGCCACAGCTTCACATGTTGTCACCACGTAATGACACAGCATGCACACACACACACACGCACAAGAACACAACATTTTCCTGCACATTGTACCAAAATGGTTTCTGTACACTCACCAATCAGGGCTTCACGTTATAATTATCTCTGCTGTACAGTGCTGTGTGTGTGTTTGTGTGTGTGTGTGTGTGTGTGTGTGTGTGTGTGTGTGTGGCTGTGTGGCTGTGTGGCTGTGTTTAGACACCATATAATAAGGACTAAACTGCTGTAGCTGTTGTTGGTAGGAGAAAACTACTCAAAGCAAAGGTCCAGTTATTTTCAGGGACTCTTTGTTAACTTTTGTTTTAGCTGTTTTAAATATTGTTTTCTATTCAGTCTGCAGCTCTTACATTACGCTCCACCAGTTTCACTTACTTAAACTATGTTTAGCTCTCTAGTTTTCTTTGTCTCATGTCTCAAGGCCATCTTTTCTCAGTTCACTTTAGTTCATTCCCCTTTGTTTGGTTTGTTCAAAAACACGTCGTGTAATAGAGAGTGTGTGAATGAAAAGAAAAACTTTATAACAGTAAACATCTGTTTCATCAGTAATCACTCCATATGATCCTGTGTGTGTCTGTGTGTCTGTGTGTGTCTGTGTGTGTTTGCTCTGTCATTATGTGGTGTGTAACCACTTCAGATATCTCCAACTGCCTAGAGAGAGAGAGGCAGATGAGAGAAGAGTCGAGGAAATTGAAAGACCGACATAAGGATGCTGTTTGTTATCCCATTCTTCTTCACACACATACACTCAGGTTGCTACTTTATCCAAAAATTAAGGTTTAAATGCGACTCATGTACCACAAATGTATGTAAACACTGACCCCTGGTCACTGAAATGAATGGACTTGCAAGAACACACATGCTGCCCCAGTCCCTGTAGTGATTGTCTCATTATGACATGTTCCCCTCGCAGTCTTTTCATAATAATTTCTCTCGCCTTAATGTTGGTGTTATATGAAGGATTACACTAAACTAGACTAGGAGTAGGACAAAGGGAAGTAGAACTACAAATTGTAGTATTAGGACAAAGAGTAGTGGGACTAGGAATAGAAGTAGGACTAAGAATAGAACTAGTAGAACTAGGAGTAGTAGTATTAGAATGAAGAGTCAGGACTGGGAGTAGTAGGACAAGGAGTAGAAGTAGTACTAAGGATGCAACTAGTAGCACTATGAGTAGTAGGACTAGGAAAAGGACTAGTAGGCCAAGGAATAGTAGTAGGAGGAATAGGAGGGGTTGTAAGATAAGGAGTAGGAGTAGTATGACTAGGAGTAGGAGTAATATGACTAGACGTAGCAGTAGGAGTGCAAGTAGTAGGACTAGGAGTCGTAGTAGGACTAGAAATATGACTAGTAGGATTATGAGTAGTAATAAGAGTAGGAGTAGAACTAAGACTAGGAATAGGAGTAGTATGATTAGGTGTGGAAG